CTTGAGTGGAATCTCGATGGGAAGGAAGCGACGAGTGGGTGGCCATTGCGAGGGTGACATGGTGGTAATCGTGTGGTGTGGAGATGAGAGTGTTTGGTCAATCGTAGACCCATATGAAAAAGATATCAGAAAGTAGAACAAAGTGGAGATGTGTTGCTGAAGCTCCATGTTCCACTTGGAGCGCAACGGGGTGGTAATAATCGCGCATACATTCAAAATCCTGATTCTGGGGCCTCTGGGATAAGTTTGAAAATATTTAATGGTTTCCTACAGTGCAAAGTTGTTTCACTCGTTGAATATAGCTGTTATCACATCCCGGTTGTGACAGTATTTCACAGAAACTGATGCGGCTTCTTTTTTGAAGGTGCTTGTTTGCCGTTATGGTCAAGCTTTCTTTGCTATACAACAAAGCAGATTGTATTTTGAGGAACTTCATCGCTTTACTGTTACCTCAGAGCCTTGAGCTTGTAGCTACATGACACCGAGAGAACAAGCTCAAGGCTCTGAGGTAACAGTAAAGCGATGAAGTTCCTCAAAATACAATCTGCTTTGTTGTATAGCAAAGAAAGCTTGACCATAACGGCAAACAAGCACCTTCAAAAAAGAAGCCGCATCAGTTTCTGTGAAATACTGTCACAACCGGGATGTGATAACAGCTATATTCAACGAGTGAAACAACTTTGCACTGTAGGAAACCATTAAATATTTTCAAACTTATCCCAGAGGCCCCAGAATCAGGATTTTGAATGTATGCGCGATTATTACCACCCCGTTGCGCTCCAAGTGGAACATGGAGCTTCAGCAACACATCTCCACTTTGTTCTACTTTCTGATATCTTTTTCATATGGGTCTACGATTGACCAAACTCTCTCATCTCCACACCACACGATTACCACCATGTCACCCTCGCAATGGCCACCCACTCGTCGCTTCCTTCCCATCGAGATTCCACTCAAGCGATAGCCTGCCTTGCACGCTATGTCATTCGATGGCCTCCTCAATGTATGCCCAACCGATCCATCTCAATTCTCTCTTACATATTTGTTGGGTAATCGGCTACTTGTTGGTTTGTTTTCAACCAGAGTTTTTTGTCACTAATCCTTTCTGGCCGTTTGATCTTCAGTATGTAACCAGCAAAGTTGGCAGCTGTTGATGAAAGTCTGTAACAGGCTGCTGGAAATCCTAACCCGTATAGAAGCACTGACTAATTTCATATTTGTGTTGAAAATCCGAATCTTGCTATTTATTCTGGCTGAGTGGAGAAGACCTTCAGGTTGATGAAGGTTTAGGTGTTGACGGTATAGACGTTCGCGAGTTGTACGGAGTATATTAACGCAAGATCTTATACCAACAACTTCTATCTTATTTGTTTCTCGTGTACCAATGGTAAAGCAAAACACCGCAATTAATTGTCCAAATTACGAGATACATTTTGGAACCAAATCGCGGATTGAAGCGGATGACAAGCTAGCTAGTTATCGTGCACGAAAGTGACACGACGGAGTACCAAATGGCGGGGATGCTTGACGGGAAGCCTTCAGCTAAACAAGTCGACTTAAACTCTATGTGTCAGCATCCAGTGTTCACTGATGATTCTTATGGTCACGATGTAATTCTTCTCTTGCACACAATCTATTCCTATGGTCAATGATTTTGGGGAATTATTTGCCGCTTCAAGGCGTATCTTGTATTTTCGATTTCAGCTGGCTTTGACATGTTCATCCATTCCGCATACGGCTGAAACAATGCTTCCTAGATAAGTGAGGGAAGTAGAGCCTGTCAAATCTCTCCTGTTGATGGTGATTGGTGGTGGTTGTTGTGCCTGTTGCCTAGTTATCTTCGTCAACTCCATCTTCTCTATGTTCACTTGGAGTTCTGTCATCGCTTCCTGCTTCTTCGACCAGTTGTAAGTTTTCGCCTGTAAGTCTTCGAGTTAGTGTGAGATTATATACATATATATATATATATATCATCCACACGCGAAATGCAGATCTTCTAAATTCTTCTAATGCGTCCAAAGTATTCGTGTCTTCTCACTCCACTCACGGTCTTATGCATAATTCAGTCCACCGTGATCAATAATATGATCGGTGATAATACGTAGGTAGCCTTAAATTACTCCTGAATAGACTTCGAAAGCCTCGCTGAGTTTTCCCTTTTTTGGGTTATTTGGCACGTAGCACTGCCATATAACTGTTGGATGAGGTTGATAAAGACTTGATGTATGCTGTAATGATGAAGCAGTTTCCAAATCACTTCTCGGTATATGTTGTCAAAGGTCTTTCCGAAGTCGATAAAGTTGAAGCAGAGGTTTGAGCGTCTTCGCGCTTACGCCTCCGATTTTCACTTCCTGTTCTGATATAGATATAGCGATCATCAAGCATCGGGAACTGGGGAACCAAAAGTTTGGTAAGAAAATATGCCGAAATTTAGAAAAAGAAGGGACACCAGTATATTGCAGTTTATATGACGCTCAGGCTATAGCCAAAAACACCGCACAGAGCGACCTTTTAGAATCACTTTGGTGTCGCGTGATAACGAATAGCACAGGGTTCCATAATAGAGAAACCAACATGTGAGATGAAGCACGAGCAGTAAAACGACACATGTAGCCACTATGGTTTCAACCACAGGATTCGACCAAATCATGATCGGTAGTGATTTCAGCCTACAGTTACCCAGCATATATGGGAATCATACCTAAATAGATGTATTGGATAGACAGTTCCTGAATGTAGTTCAGACGGATGGATTGACTGAGGCCATGAAGAATGGCACATGACTGTACCGAACTGGAAAACATCCAGACTAGATTACATTCCAGCAACCGACTACCTGCTTGCATAAAATGTATGGTAAGACCCTTTAAGTGGAAGTGGCTCACGGTTTTATCATTTGGTCCAGTCGCTAAGGAACAGCATCAACACAGTGACTCCCAGGCAATGTACTGAAGCCCTGTGTTTTTCCACCAAGTGAGCTGAATGAAAACTAATTGGATAGATGCCAGCTCCCAGTAGTCTTTTAGCTGGCGACCACCTCATCTATATTTAAAGGAAGAATGGAAAATTCTCAGATCCCATCTATTAGTGGCACTAGTGTCTATTATATCGAAGGTGATGAATTGCTTTACCGATCTAAAGAAGTTAGACATGGAAGACGGTTCACCCCTCAAAGAAATTTTGTGCAGTATTCATTCGCAGATCGAAAGAAATAAGGTTCTTTCTGTAATGGAGTAACTGCTTGATGAATCCCTCCTGGACGATTTATTTATAATACTCATGATTTTGGCCTTTATTGTTTGCCTTTGTTTTTATTTAATCATTAATTGTAATACTTCTCTTGGTGGTTTTTCAGATAGCGACAATCCGTTGTCTAACGACTTTGAGTTTGTTCAAGTCATTCTGACTCGAGACTGTCTGTAGGGAGCCTTCGTGGGATTCTTGTAGACAGAGCTCTTCATCCTACCTCGTCGAGAAATTTCTCCTCGATTCTGAGGTACTTTTCACAGTCAAAAGTTTAGTTACCTAATTCTGTTTTACAGTCCTTGTTTATATTCAGGATCCTGCATTGCCTTTGCAGCTAAATCAAGGTGCTGTTGAGGTAAACTTGGAAAATCAATGTTATTATTCTTCAAAAGAACCGCTAAAATATCGAAGGATAATCATTGTTTCCTAACTTTTAGAGCTTTTTACGATCGCACGTGTCCCAGAAAAGATTTTCAGTCATACAACAAAACGCAGAGATTGGTTTCTCGCTCTCAGACCACAACCAAATAAAACTGACTGTAAAACGCATCCCCATTATGCTGAACTGGCGTTTCCCATATCAAAACAGACCGTGATCCAGCTCGATTCATCGCAGATATACTAAAGAGGAAACTCAGTCATACCAAGTAGATCCGTATATTTTTTGTTTAGGCAAATGAGGTCAGTTGCAGTTGGCCTTTATTTGCACCCGTACCAAATTTATACTCAAACTACTATCATACTGGAATATCGATTATGTAATAACCGATTAAGGCATCTCAGTACGTAAACGCGCCACTACCTCTGAAGCAAGAGCGACCGCATCACGGCGTGTAAATTAGCATGGAGTCAATTGCAAACTATCTGAGACATATTACCAGAAGGGAAATTTATTATCCCTCGAGTTAATGCTTGAGGAATTGTTTGCCAGGGGAGCAGAGTAAAAGTGCAAAGATAAATTGATGTGCATTGAAAATGGCTTCCTGATTAAGTTGGCAGTCAGCTGCCGTGGCAACTGCTTGATCTACAATTGACCCTACTATTTTGACGAGACAAACGGTTTGAACAGACCTCTAGGTGATTCAATCTAGTTCTAAAAGACCATGATTGGCCCGCGAATGTCTCATTTCAGATACAGCGCTATTCTGTTCTAATTTCCCTTATCAAGACCATATTCCTTCATGGGTACTCGAATTCCCACTGTCATATCTCCAATAACTACAATAGACTTGCCTCACAGCCTATTTGTGCTTGCATATTTTCTCAGTTACTTTTTCACCCACATGACACAGAGTTCTTCAAGGTGCTCTTGGAAACAGAAGGTTTTCCAAGTGAAACGAAATCTGCAACTAGTAGAAGTGCCACTGACCTTGTACAATCTTTATATTCTCTAAAAAGTAAACAAAAGTACCTCATCTTACTGCATGTAGCTCAGACGCATCAGCAAAAGAGGCGGACAGTAATGCGAGTAGCAAAATATCTCAAAGAATCAAGCGCCGGAAACCGCAAAATTTATACAAGCTCATCATAATGATACTTGATTATTATTCAAAAGTAGTTCTCACGTCAAACAGAATGAATTAGCATTAAGCAGTTTAAAGAATATTCCTAATTACCATGCACTATGTTAGCCAAGCAATATGTCATGCATCATGACACAAAACATACTAGTCGAAAATCTTTGTTTAAATACATCAAAACACGTTGCTACTATAATTACATTTAAGACACCGATTGAATTATTGTAAAATATAATGGAGGAACAAACCACTAAAAAATTTGAGGAAAACAGAAGAATACATACTTATCCATTGCTGAAAGTAAGACTACTAATTTAATGTCATTATAAAAGCACAAAACTTACATTTGATGACCATGTTCTTTTAAGCATATATATATATATATATATGGCTTATAATCTAGTCATTATAATAGTAATAAAAGCTGGCTTTTTTTAAACTGCTTCCGTGATATTGACACGGAATTCTCAGCATTCGGTACCCTACTGCATTAATTTCACTAAAAACCTGTACGTGGTACATGTAAAAAAAATTGATAAAAACAACTGTGATTATGTATATATGTGTACACATATATATGTGCATCGAGGTCTTTACCTAGCTAGTTTTTAGTAGTTATGTTGCACTTTGGAAACTTCAAGGGTGTAATTTTCACGAACTTGCTGCATTGAAATACCCACAAATTTGCCTGATAACACCAAGACGTCTTTTCTAACGGAATTACTTTCTCTAGCGTAATACTGGTTAGAAAATAACAGGGAAAGGAGACAATAACAGGGTGGCAGTGGGGACGTTTTGTAGGTCAGTTGGATGATTTTAAGTTAGTTGTATCTTCTGACCTGGTTGGTTTGACTAAGAAGTTTTTGTCGCCCTTCTAGATATCATCTTTAGCCCAGGTTTTAGTATGAGACCTACCTCCCCACTAATGTGAGCTTGACTAGCAACTCTGAGGAATATAGCGCATCACTTTTTTCCGATTTTTAAACAGTATTATTTTATATTGTAATCACCTAGACTAAAACTATAGGAGATTTTGAAGAGGGAATTTATAGGGTTTTCACAGCTAATTATTGCATTTGCATCAAAGTTTCCTATTGTTTTGACCCTTAACTTTTTACTTGGGCTGTGAGTTTTCATAATTACATGAAATTTAAATATTCATAGTTAGTGCAGACAAAACATTCATATGTAAACTAAACATGTCTTCAGGCAGTCTACAAAAAACTCAATCTCCCTCCTATTTAATTTTTTCTATCATAGCATAGTGATATGAACGAAGATATGCAGACTGAAGTAATGGAACTGTGTGTAACTGCATGCGAAAAATTTTCCACTGATAACGAGGTGAGTTGTTAACCCATATTTAATTTACTTTAATAAATTTCCATATTTAAGTGAATTTACCGTCTGCATTTGCAATACCGACAAGAGTTGTTATATAAAAGACTGCCGCACATAAGGAAGTACCAGCAATTATGTTCTCACCCACAACATCTCTTTTCTATGAAAGCATTTTAGAGTTGATTTTCTGAAGCGTTTATAGAGAACAAATATCACTCTTGACTCCTTGTACATATGAAATCATCTGAATATCCGATGATTCACCAGCCAGCAAAAATGAGTTGACATGCCGTTATTATTATTGTTATTCCATGGCGTTCCGAGTGGAACATAGAGCTTCAGCAACACACCTCCACTTTGTTCTACCTTCTGATATCCATTTCATCTGGGTCAACGGTTGACCAAACTCTCCCATCTCTTCCTCACACGATTTCCACCATGCCACCCTCGCAGTGATGACCCACTCGTCGCTTCCCATTTGGATTCCACTTGAATCATAGCTTGCATTGTGCATAATGTCATTCGACGGTTACCTCAATGCCGTTAACACACCTTTTTACTGCTAACTGTTTAAATAGTTTCATAATGGTTTTTTTCTAAAAGTTAGAGAGCCTTTTACTTTTTAGTAATGTTTTTAACTTTATATCATAAAGCTTTAACACCAGTGTACATTTTGTTGAGAAAACCTATGTCTGTATCATTTGTTCTCGAATATCAGTCGGTAAGATACTTTTACATTAGTAAAACCCAAATCGGTCTAACAGGCAGTACGCAAGCGGTGCTAAATAACGTGATAAGCATTATAAATATAGAGCAATAACAAAATACACCTTCATATAAGTAGGGAAAGCCCTATTAGATAAACCTCCTAAAAACGACTTCAAACCACATTCTTAGGAAGCGTAAATGATTAAACTGTTAAATTTTACGAAAGTGCATACTAATAAGTCTATTACAGAGTCAGCTACCTAGCAATTTCTTTTGTATATTACTAAACGCCTTATCACGCTACAAACTCATTCATCACAACCTAGGACAGAGAACTACTTCAATACTTTTGTTGCATACTTCTTTTGAAACCATGGCGCGGAAACTCAAACACAAAGGTATCTTCAAGCCACAACCTGCTCAAACTCTCTTCAGGTGACTATATCATCATAGAGGAAGGTGACTAACTTCAAAATATATCTTTGCTTGGAATTGAGTGCATTCAACATCACGCTTAATTCCTTGGAGTTCACACTGACTGCCGTTCTATTATTATTATTCTCCAACAATACGTATGCAGCATCGCTTATATACAACACTTAACTTTCTCCAAAAGACAAGGTTTGAATTTCTGAGCTACTAATCTTTCTTTACTGATCCTAACATCTTATCCGTTATCTTATTCTATAATTAAAAGTTATTGTTATTTTATCCTTCAATTAGGCAGCCTCACGTTTTGTAAAAGAGTCAATGGACAAAAAGTTTGGTGCAGCCTGGCATGTGGCTATTGGAGAAGGTTTCGGTTTTGAAATTACATATGATATCAAAAACATTCTGTACATGCTCTGCGGTGGAAATTTAGGCATTATTGTTTGGAAGTGTTGCTAATGATATGTGGAGACCGCAAGCCACGATTGGGACGACAGTCTATATAGGGTGAAAAAAGCATTTTTTTTGTCAAGAATTCTAATTCCCCTAAAAAGCCTTTCTGTGTGGAATTTTCAAACTTCTGCTACCATTCCGAATTTCGCTTGGTGAAAATTAATCATAGTGACAAATTAACTGTTGAAAAAAAGATTTTCTTTTCTATTGCTGTTCACTACCTTGAAACAATCATGTAACATTTTATATTCCCCTAACAAGATACAGAACGTTAACTGGTATTAACATTCTTTTAATTTGAAATTGATGCGAGTTAACAACGTTATAGTGTTTTGATTTGACACTAGTAACTAGTGTGAGATGCGTCTAGTCCTCTGATTGGTGTAGACTGAATTCCATAAGTCAGGTTGTAATGTGACCACCATTCTAGCTAGCTCGCCATCACGGTGCACATTGATTTGATGGTATTAGATGGTTGGAGGCAATCGGCCACAGGAAGCCTTCGACCTAGGTTTCGTTCTAGTTGAAACTCACCAGTCAGCAAGGCGTATCTGCAACCTTGAAGGGAGTCATGTCCCTTCTGAAACTCGAACCCGCGTCACCCAGTGCTGCGGTCAGAGGCGTTACCACTGAGCTATTCGGGCCCGCGATTGACCTCCTGTAAGACTGTAGTGGATATTTCTATTTGACACTAGTAACTAGTGTGATGCGTCTAGTCCTCTGATTGGTGTAAACTGAATTCTATCAGTTATAGTGTTTTATTAAGCAAGGAAATAAAGTAGGTTTTCTAATACTACTTTAAATGTCTTAGATAACTAACCGTTCAATTAGGGAGAAGTTAATAGCTATACATAATTGGAAATCTGTTCGTAAAAAAACCTTTCACTGTACCAAATAAGCTGACAATGCATGGAAATAGTCTAAATGCATACTGGGTGGAACTAATAATGTACTATAAGTCAATAGTTCGCCTGGTTAGTGTTGTCCATGCATTCATGAACATAAACTAACATTGTTTAACAAAATAGGGAATCGGAGAGAGAGAGAGGGGGGACATTAAACTTATTGAACTGGTAAATAATAAAAGGGAAATAAACCGTTTTTAAGAAAAGAGTTTATATTCTCAACAAACTTTTATACAAATCAACACAGGGGTAAGTAAATACAATACAAGAATATTGTATCAATTGCAAAATGTTCGACAGGCATTATATATATATATACCCTTAAGCATTTACGACCTGTTTATTTCCCTAAATCAGCAATGAAAAGTCTGTAAACATTTAAAACAGAAGGACAGCAGACAGACGGGTACATTGGAATAGACAATTTTACAATACATATTCAACATGAGAAATAAGTACAAATGGTAACAGAATTGTGATGGGTTTAGTGTTTACGGAGTGTGTGTGTGTGTGTACGTGTGTGCAGGTATGTGTTTTTTATTCGAGTGTATAAAGACGAAACAATTACAAGGCGACGATAGTGTGAGCACATCACAAAAAGCATGCACGTCTGTAAATTACTTGTATCTTTTAGTGTATATGACACTAATTTGAAGATAAAACAAAGTGAAATCTCTTCTCCAGTATTTATTTCCGTATATGTTGAAGAAGATATTTTGATTGTACACACATATGCCAAAGTGAATAAATCTTCTAGTCTATTGAACAAGCAATCACAGGGGTAGAGAACAGTGGTAATGCACTATAACTTGTGTTATAGGTGGTTAAGGAGATTGTTTCAAGACATATAATGATACATTGGATCAGCATCGTCTCCTCTTTTAGGCTTTAAAAAAAAAACAACGAAACAAAGTAAAACAAAATGAATTCGCACGACTGAAGCTTACGATGACAAGTGTTAACAAGCACGAGATTTCGGTCCACGGTTTCCCGTCGATTGCATCCAACAATCCGACTTTTAAATATTTCTGTACTTCACTTCATTATTTATCATCCATTTTATGGTTATATGTGTACATCTCAATTTATTCTGTCCTTAGTTTTTACTACTTATAATTGAGGAGTAACAATGAGCCATATATCTATCGTTTTTTTCGCCTGTTACTCTCCTCTTCTTTCTCCTTCATCACAACTTAGCTTGATTTTTTTTATTCCTTTGCATTTCCAGTTGAACGTAGGCTTTCAAGCTAAAGCTTGGAAGTTTCGGTCTGTCTGTCTGTCTGCTTTCGACATAGAACTGTGCACATATGTGCGCCAGTTCAAGTCGCCACACTCCCTCCTTGTAGCACACAAAGCAAGAGAAGAAAGTACAAGAAATGCATAATATAGATAGTAAGCAGAGGTGTGAGACAAAGGAAGAGTAATAACAAAGAACAAAACAGTTTCATTGGAAATCATAAGTCACAAGGAGTGGATGCTTCTGCGCTATTCGTTGAGAGCGATTCTGAGCCATATAACCGATTGTTTCCAACCATTGGTTTTTACCCTCCCGAGGACCCCAACCAGGAACTCTACACCTTCCTACGTGGCCTAGGATAACTGTTATAGATTTCATTGACTGGTGCCATGTTTTGGTTTGACCGCCGCTAGCTCTTTTCCAGCTTGACCCTATGTCAGCTAACATTGCTCGTCGAGGAAGGCGATGACTAGGCACTCATGCGTAACACATGTCCTAACCATCTCAGTCTATGAAACTTCACAACCTCGTCGATTGATTTCCCCTCCTTACCTCAATATTGCTCACCTTATTATACCATTTCACATGGGACATAGAGCGCAGGCACCTATGATCAAAGACAGCTAATCTTTTCATGTCTTCCACTCTCAGTGGCCAGGTCTCACAGCCGGTCATAAAGGAGGACGGAGCGGACTGCCAAGCAGTACGCACTTCCTTTGGTCGACAGTCGAATACCTCGTCTATGCCAGAGACGGCGTAAACTGGAAAATGCAAAACAAGCCCCCTGTATCCGTGTTGAGATTTCATCAGAGATCAACCTGTTGGGGCTGATGGTACTTCCCAAATAAGTGAAGCGGACAACGTGCTCTACCACTTCACTCCCTACTTCTAATCTAGGAGTCGGTGTAGTCCAGTTCCGTAACATCATCTTGCATTTGGTGGGAGCGAATGCATGCCAAACATTCGTAGATTGCAGCTCAAGGTGTTTAGAAGTAGTAGCAGTGGTGTTTATTTTTACAGGATGGGGTTATTAGCTTCATGCTTAACCTTCCTTTCTTACCTGCCTTATTACTGATTAAGCGAGGTAAAGGAGTGAGTCGGTTGCAGATTGAACCCTGAACCAAATGTGTAGTTGGCAAGCGTTCTACCACTGTGCCACTGACGCATATAAACTTGATTACAAGTCAATAAACAGGTTCTGTCTCCTCTTTTTTTCTTCATTAACTATATTCCTTTATCCCCCATTTACATACTTTGCAATTTCCTTTCAATACGAATCCTTAATTTGAACATAGGTGTTTTTATAGAAGAGTTTTTGTCATCTGTTCTAAAAAAACACTTAATTTACTCACTTCCTCTCTTAAATACTACCTACCGTAATACGTAACAAACATTCAGGACCCTGATAAATAGACTGTCTTCCAGATAAATTTGGTAATTCTGTTTCCTTTTGTATCTATTACAATTCACCTAAACTCACTCGCCTTTTAGGAGTAGAGTACGGTGCTAGTGCTAAAAAAAATTCACACGGCCCGTTTTTAGGCGTTACTGTTGCTACTATTTCAGATGACATCTTTGTTACTAGGTAGTGCTGTTCTTATACAACTGTTAACAATCAGTAAATTCACTTACTCACCACTTTTATTTGCTATTTTTAATAATCGCGGTTAACGTAGTGTGACCTGTCATCAATTACTCTAATCGACTACCACCCTAATGACCACACTACACTGCTGTTCTTCTATGCTTTATTTATTGACACTATTACACTCTGATTAAATCTCCTTTGAATTATCTGAAAGTGATAATCTCTAGGTAACACAACCATATTTGGTTGGTACAGCGTGTGAGTGTATCGCCGCGAAGATAAATGTTAATGTAAAGCTGCAGATACTGACCCCAATTGACTCCAGCGATCTAGGGATTGACATGTCACAAGGGTCTAGTCTTGTTGACTTAGAATATACAGATGACATGATCCTCCTAGGTGTAGGCGCTAACAAAACACTGTCTTTTGAGCACTTTGAGCAGTGAACAATCTTCGAATGTTTCGCATGCGATTCGTTCTCGGTGTCATATGTAAGACGACGCCATAGGATTGGAATACACCAACTTCTAGCTTACAGACAGTTAGTGAAGTGGTTAAAAGTGGAAAGCCAATCAATGAAGGTGTGAAGCTACATCGAATGAAATGGTTAGGATATGCGTTACGCATGCCTGACTATCACACTCCAAGATTGGGAAATGTCAGCTGACAAACGATCAGATTGGAAAAGAGATACTGGTGGTCAAGCGAAAACTTGGAACCAGTCCATGAAATCCTTGGCAGTTAGTTTCAGCCACATAGGGAGGATTAGACTTCCTGGTTAGTCAGAGTCCTTCGGGATGGTAAGAACTAATGGCTGGAGACAATCGGTGAAATGGCTTAAAATCGTTCTCAGTGGCGCAGGTGCATTCACTCCTTTTGATGTTCCATATCCAATAATTCCTAATGTTTCTCCATGTTACAACTCTTCCTCCCTCAATTCTCTGCTTATTATAGTAGTTTTGAATCCCTTTTATGTTTACTTTACTTCGGCTATCTCCTACGGGAAGATGAGCCGGCTTCATGAACCATGAAGTTTCATGGGAATTGGGTACGAGTGATGTCCCCAGGATCGCTTGGCCTTTTGTTTGAGAGTGCAGCTCTAGCCTTTACACAACCAAGTGTGACCTACAAGGCAGTAGGAGTGGAGTAGGGAGTCCACTATCCATTGGCAGCCGGTGACCGGAGTCCGGTTCATACGCCTTTTTGAATGGGGCCAGTCATCCAGGGCATCCAATAAGCCCTTTGTCCATACGTCTGCCGGTGAGCTTCATACGCCAGTCGTTGGAGGTTTGGAATCAGGGTTTAGCCATCTCCCCTAGACTGTCATCCAATGGACAGTCAACCCGGTGAAGAGCGCCGGGCATCCGCTTTTGCCCTCTCACTTTGGTGAAAAACACCCCCGCCACGTGAAGGCAGTGAGTAGGACTTCCTCAGGAGAGGCTATGTAAGACGCCCGGTCATATGGGAGCATTTCGAGAGGTGTACGGAGGGGTGGCCAACCCGCAGCGCAAGACACCCACCCCCGACCATCCTGAGGCTTTGGAGGCGCCTTTGTATGCTTCATGTAGTGTGGCGAACCGAACTGTTGCGCTTCTGAGCCAAGTTCTACGGTGAAACTCAGCCAGCCAGTTAGACCTGCTGATAAGGAAATAACTGAGAAAGAATACGTCTGCTGCATTAACTGGTTGTTTCTGTGTGTTTGAAGATGAATTTCTAAGTTAAACAGGAATGATATCGATATATCAAGTCTGAAAATAGAAGGAGAAATATTAGCCAATTGGGGAGAAATACCGCTCAAGCGGCTCTTTTCACTGCTGGGGGATATATAAATGCATAATATTAAAGATAAACGAAAATAGAAACATGACTACACCTCTAGGTACTTGAATTACCCGAAGGCAAACAATGAAACAGAAAATAACGTTTCAAACCACCAATTAAGGAAAAGTGTTCAGTAAATTTGAATTGTCGATCATTTCAGATCACTAAGTTAGTAAGTTAAAATGTTACAGCTTAAGAACACAACATCCCATTATACTAATAAGCTAAGCACACCATCACTTGGTCGTGTTAAAACAAGGTTAAACTTGAAATAAGACAATTGTAAGCGTTGGTCGAATGTGATATGGGCTAATGTAACGGGGGAAAATTAATTCATTTCATTATAAAATAAAACCTCGCCGTGATAGATATCATTACTGCAATAAACTTTTGATATTAGTCCGTGTATTACACAATGAAGTAATATAATTCACTGTGAATAACCATAATAGTAATAATAATAAAGAACTACAAAATAATACAGTGATTAATTTCCAGTATATTTCATGAATCTACTCACCTTGATTAAAAACTTTTGACGAGCTAACGCCATTCGAATTATCATTGACTGTGCACGATTTTTGTATTCATCGACAAGACGTATAGCTCGAGCAAACGTCAAACAACGTTGATCCACGTCTAATACACGGAGAAGCTGTAATATTAGTCAGAAAACCAACAGACAGATAGAATCACTGCAAAATTATATATATATATATATATATTGATGTAAGGCATAGAGTGCTAGGTAAGGAGATGGTCAGGACATGTGTTACGCATGAGTGCCTAGTCATCGCCTTCTTCGACGAGCAATGTTAGCTGACATAGGGTCAAGCTGGAAAAGAGCTAGCGGCGGTCAAACCAAAACATGGCACCAGTCAATGAAATCTATAACAGTTATCCTAGGCCACGTAGGAAGGTGTAGAGTTCCTGGTTGGGGTCCTCGGGAGGGTAAAAACCAATGGTTGGAAACAATCGGTTATATGGCTCAGAATCGCTCTCAACGAATAGCGCAGAAGCATCCACTCCTTGTGACTTATGATTTCCAATGAAACTGTTTTGTTCTTTGTTATTACTCTTCCTTTGTCTCATATATATATATATATATATATATATATATATATATATATATATATATATATATACATCAAGCAAAGTGAAAAATAACACCCGACAGAATGAAAAGAATCTTGTGTTTAATAAAATCTCGAAAACTTCCTTCTATAGGAATCAAAGCAACAGTGAAATGCTTCATTTTTCGATGTTATGTATTGACTGAAACGTTTCTCAAAACTTAATTTGCACTCAAACTCGATACATGTAGCTCATGTCCTAGTCAACAAGAGCTGACAAAAATTTCACGCCTTACTTGAATTCCTTACCAACTAATATTTTAGGCCTAACAACACATCAACAATAATCATCACATGTGGGTCAATGCTAGAAAGTCATCTAAGGTCAGAAACACACAACTTGCTTAAGCCTTCCACCGTTAACAGATATAACTCGCAGCAGAAGTGTCGGACAAACAGGAAAAGAAATTTTTCACGTGTTGTAGGTACCCCTTTTTTATAAGTGCTACACTCATTTGAAATGAGCAGTTGAATACCGCTCACACAAACCAGTACCACTTTCTATCAAGAACGAAGTGAGCTAAACACCGAACAGCCGATTCGTTCGTTTGAGGTTGAGCTCAGCAGAGATGAACCTGGTTCGACTCAGTTTAAGGAGCCGAATCAGTTGAAACCACTCGATTGCTGGCTGGCTACTTGGACGAACTAATAACTCAATACATCAAATTATCGATTTATGAATTAATTCGTAATTTTCACAATTCGTAAATTTTCGAGGTGAAATTTTACCACAATTCCCTTCGTAAACTAAAATTATTCACATCATAACATGTGATCTACTTATGTTTTCTTGATTCACAGTTATGATATCAAGCAGATCATATATTATGATCTCAATAACCTTGGTTCCTAAGGAAGTTGTAGTGAAATTTCACCTCCTTGAACTGTGTACGCTGCAAATTATTTTGCAAAATGGAGAATTTGATTTATGGAAATGTGTACAATCAGTCGATTGCATCCAATGCAGATAATTTCACCTTCAAATGAAATTCACTGGTTAATATATGTGTAAAACTTAGGCACTGTGGTAGTAAGTAATTCCATATTAGTTTGTTTATTAGATGTATCACACAGTGAAACAGTATCAGTATTTACTGGATGACAAGGTTTCTAACACAATTTATTGTTCATAATCATATCAATTGTAATCACTCGACTTTGAAACTTGGGCTTTATAATTTTCTTTGTCTTCTACTATTTGTCGTAGAATTTTCTAGATATCTGGGATAGGTGTTGAATCATTCCTATTACATGTATTTGCAGTTGATTCGATAAACAAAGCTTCTGTTATCAATCTCTCCCTCGATGTACCCTGTGACATTAGATTTTAAAACTGTCATTCTATCCCATCCTATTGTATGGTTGTGTGTAAGATATAGATAGATTTTTCGAATACATCAGCTCGAGGGTAAAGGCAATTCAATTCACTTATGAACTGGAAAATCAGGAAGGGGAGCTTCCAATGTTAGGTTTGCAGTGTAAAACGGAAAGAAGATGGGAAGTTAAACACACTAGTGTGTTTACAGGAAACCCACACATTCACACAGATATTTGGACTTCCAATCATCCCATCCTATGTCAGTAAAAATAGGATTAGTGAAATGTTTAAATGACAGAGCACAAAAACTAAGTAGTACCAAGGAAAACCAAGACAGGAAATGATACACATAAAGGAAGCCTTGAAACTTAATAATTACCCTGATAAATTAGTCACGAAATATGTAAGGAAATGTAAAAATAAAATATATAATGATAGTAGCGATAGTGATAATATTAATAACAATAATAATATTAATGACGACACCAACGGCAAGGAATCTAAGTCATCAGTAGTAATTCTATACGAGGAAGGAACCTCGGAAACCTTACGCAGAATTCTTAACAAGGCAGGAATAAAAGTGGCATTCAAATCCACAAACTCGATTAGAAACAAGCTTTGTCATTTAAAGGATCAATCCTGTGGAGCCTTTAAAACAAAACAATTTAGTTTATCTAATACCCTACTGGAATGATTGTCAGGTCAAATACATAGATCAAACTAGTAGAACAGCGGCAGTCAGACTAACCGAACATAAAAGCCTAGCAAAATCTAGATTAGTTGACCCAAATTAGGTAAGAAATCTACAAAATAGTTCAGCTATAGCACTACATGCAGTTACACACAACCATACAATAGGATGGGATAGAATGACAGTTTTAAAATCTAATGTCACAGGGTACATCGAGGGAGAGATTGATAACAGAAGCTTTGTTTATCGAATCAACTGCAAATACATGAAATAGGAATGATTCAACACCTATCCCAGATATCTAGAAAATTCTACGACAAATAGTAGAAGACAAAGAAAATTATAAAGCCCAAGTTTCAAAGTCGAGTGATTACAATTGATATGATTATGAACAATAAATTGTGTTAGAAACCTTGTCATCCAGTAAATACTGATACTGTTTCACTGTGTGATGCATCTAATAAACAAACTAATATGAAATTCACTGGTAAAAATAATTTAATACATATAGACTAATAACTTAAGATAACCTTATATTCCTTAGGTTTCACTATAACCTTCTTGTAACAATCCTCAATGTAGGACCGATTCATGATGATAAACACAATGTATGTTAAAAATCGTAATATAACTTGTCTTATTAAATGTTACAGGTTGTACACAGCTGACGAGAACCGGCAAAGTAGTATGGATTCGTATTGTCCTTCACCAATATCAGTTGTATCTCTGTTCAAATTTATAAAGGGGAATATTCGTGTACGATATTATTTATTGGTTGACTATCTTACGTTGGAATGCAGATAAGATACTCCCCCGGTGACCTGATTAAATCACTGGGCTACCAGAATTTCTATTCATTAAACTGCTTAGACTTTTATGCATCTCTTTTGTGTTATTTGTGCAGTTATATCAAATGACCACTAAATGAACTCGCGCGCATGTTTAATTAACTTTCAAGTAGACGCTGTGTAATTCTTCAAGGAAATGGGGGGGGGTTAGAAGTGTACAGAATTGGTTCTCTCTCCCTCTGTTTATATGCAAGGAAAGCTAAGTCACAATATGTACACCGAATTATTACTTTACATGGAAATACTGTATGAAGAGAACATATTTTGGAACTAAATAGGCTGAAAATTTCTGTACTGTAAGTCCACATATTGTCTGAAATAAAGCTTTATTATTTCTTATAAAACCCAAAGTATAAGAGCCTATGCTACACAGAGTGGTTAGGACGCTCGCCGATGATCCACAAGGTCCGGCGTTCGATCCCCTGCTGACGCACACCTGATATTTATCGTCGGTCATCAAAATTTGGGCTACCGATATCACATGCTGAAAATTCCATACCTGTACCAAAAAAACGGTGTGGAATCAAACTGTAATCAAAAATAAAAAAAAGAAATAAGAAACAAATAATTACAAATATTTACCTGTTTATGTGAATCAATACGAGCTTTAATACTGCCATCTTGTATAAGTACAGCAAGTTCATTTTCTAAACCGGCCACATTTGTATCAAATGCTTTAGCCATATGATTTAAATCAGCGGAAGAATACGGACTGAAGTACTAAACAGTTAACACATATAAGAAAAAAGATGTAAAAATGAAGAACTAAAAGTTTCAACATAGACATCGAATTAGCTAGGCATTTCTGAACATATGACAAAGGAGTGAGAAAGTACCTGAACTATAATCAAATTAAATAATAATAATACTAACAATTTTCCTGAGAAAACAAACTGGTTATAATGGCCACGTCAAAGACAAAGACCGAATATACTACTTCTTTTGGATCAGTAATGCTTCAGGTATGCTCAGAAATCTTGACCTCAATTCTTACGAAAGATTTCATCTGGCCATGTATAATACTTTGAAGAATTTCCCAGAAGCAACTGATTATCACGAGTTCAGCATATGATGTTATTAAACGAAAGGAACACTTATGTTCCCCCTTCGCTAGCCAAACTGGATAGGATTCAAGGAGGCATTTTACAAGCTGATGCATAATACGAATGATGTACTCCACAGAAGCAAGTCGATTGACATATGCATTTTGATGTGGCCCGAAGCGACGTGTTGGCCAAATAATTTCTCAAAAGAATGGATACTGAACAAAGAGTACTCTTTTCGATAACCCCTTCTTCATCAGGCTCTACAGTTATGTATACATTATAGTGAATGAATGAATGAATTAGTGTTATAAACAACAATAATGTTTAAATAACGTCGAGACAATAACATCAACTGATAACAGTTCAATAGCATCAACATAACAATAAACTGAATGTCATAGATATTAGGAAAGATAATATTACGAATTCATGAATTTATAGTCTCTACTGAAGGTCGGGGCAGTAGTAGGGGGTGAACTTGCTTCTTTTGAAAACAGAGCGCTGGTTGTTTGAGGCGAATCGCAATAGCCTCTGCTATTTGGATCATGCGGTGCTTCGATGATTTCAGCAATTTATTAGGCACCCAGTAGACTACACAGAAGGATTCTTCCAAGCTGGCTTTGTGGCCGGTTTGCACCAGAAGGTCTTATTTGTGGAAGTGGTAATGGTTTTAACTACAACTTTACTTAGCCATAGTGGGGGATGTTCTCGAGCTGGCACGAAAAATCAAGTTCCTAGAGCAACGGCCAATAGAACTCGCTCCACAAGCGCAGTTGAATTGGTAGATACAATTTGAAGTGGCTAATCTAGGTACTTCATCTTTCAGTCGAGGCAGCACCATCGGTCGTGTAGAGAATGATACGTGTGGTTCGGCAGCATTAAAAGTTCTTTGAACTGATTTTCTTAATTTTCTTGTAATTATCTTAGCTTGGTATATCGCCCTTGAACTGTAGTCGTATATAAAGTGGCTTCTTGTTTACAGATAGTGAGTAGTCCTTTTCCGCTTTCTTTGTCATGTATTTCTTGATAAATTTTTCGGGATATCTATAATTTAATTTATAATTATTTCTTCCAAGAAAATTTTATTCGGAGACTGGCAGCAAGGTATATTTTACTGAGAGATTTTGAAAGCCGTTTCTGGAGAACTTTTACCTCCAGATCACTTTCAAATTCGACATTCAGTAGCGAAATCTTTTGAGACCACCCCTTCCTTCAGCCGCGTTCTTGAGTTTCAGGTTATCCCTACAAATCTAAGCAAGGGGCCATTTTCCACAAGGAATCATCAGCGATTGTGTGACTCTTCTTCTAGGAAAATTGCTTCGAGAAACATGAATGTCCAAAGTCCGAATCTCAGACAAAAGCACATACGCTGAAACGCTACAATCTCTACCAAACTGATGCAGTTCGTTTTCAGTTGCCTGAAGTTGAACAGAATATCTCACGAAACTCTTACGTCCTACCTACTGATTAAGGAACGCTATTCAAGAACTACATTGCTACGGTCACTAAGAGAAGAATCGCTGATGTGGTTATAAAGTAATCACAGGAGTATCCTTTACTTCTTGTCCCAATAAGATAAAATGAATGCCCCACTGGTTTCAATGCTTACACTGGTGACCTGCATATTTATACATTTTCAAAACATTGCACATTTGCAGGAAAATCAATACTGAGATAAAAAATAAATGATAGTGTTTAATGATTTTCAGTTCGTGATTACCAGTAAATTGATAGTATCTTTCTGTATTAGAAAATGATTAAGATATTTCTTTAATGAAGATAACTGATATACAAACTCGTTGAAATAGGCGTTGATATTATAAGTAATGACAGTCATGAACGATCAAGGCAGTATTAACAGACGGTGTAGAATTCATTAGCTGGTTATGTCTTAATAGGCTGTACGTACTTCTTTTGAATGCATAGTTTAGGTTTAACGGTTCGAATACCTATCGCCTCAGTTGTGTGCAGTAGACGAATACGAGGTATATTGGAAAGATTCGGTGGGATGCGATGAATTACTTTGAAAGCTCTTGTTTTCTCCACTACACGACCACTATCAATTAAATGTGACAAAACTGAGCTACGGATTGTTTTCCCTTGCCCTTTGCCAAACCACGATGGGAGATGTTCACTAACACGTTGGTTAAGCTGTCTAGTAGTACGCCCAATATAACTGTCACACCAGGTGCAGTTGAATTGATAAATGCACATAGATGTGGCAAAACTATCTAGCTTGTCCTTCGTTTGCGTCCCAGTTATTCGTCAGCTAGAGAATGACAAACATTGGTATGCTGCATAAAACGTTCTCCGTATACTCCTGGAAAGTCGCTGGAACAAAATCTCACTAGATAAGTCACCATTAAATTGTAACTTAATAGATAGAGGCTTCCTACGTGCAGTCAGAGTCTCAATTTTTCTCTATGATGTTTTCATATGTTTCTTTATGAAACTACTCGGATAGCCCATCTCCCTTACAATCAAGCATTACTTAATCGGTTCATTTGTTTTTACTAGCCTTTATCGACTACTTCCACCTGAACATTTGTTTGTTTAATCATGCTGTTTTTTTCATTATTCGTGTTTTCACAGATCTTTTTAATTCTTCTCTTTCTGAATGTAGTATGAATATGTAATATGATGATTCATCGTAAAAATATTTTTGATAAGTATGCTAACCAGTTTTTTCCTCAATTATTTTGTTACTCAGCTATATCATTTCTTCTTTCTTAAAATCGAGGTTGTATTATTGTATTTCATTATTATTTTGTATCGAGCATTGCTTGGTGCTTATACTGTACGAAACTCGTGTTTTAAAAATGCATAGGCAAATTAATACACCGGCTAACAATCAAATGTCTGTGAACTGAAACACCAAGTCAATAGCGAATTCAACTATGTTCCCGGGCAACGAGTTTTGCACTTGTTGTGTGAGGGCTATTGATGCTACCCAGTTAACCAGACTGAAGTAGATGGGGCTGGATTCCAGCCAACAATGAACCAAGTCTCCACTGTACAATGAAAAAATACAATTCCTTGTCACACAACTTCTACACTGAATAAAACAAACAGAATTTATTTCTAATTTTGCCAGTATCAGAATAAAATGATATATAGACGTAAAGTGGAGAGTGCAGAACTAACTAACCTGACAAAGGGCACGTGATCGAATCTCTTTGCATAGTGTAGTTACATGATCAGATAAAAATATATCCAGTTTTAAAAAATTGCGTAATTTATTTAAACGACCTAAACATGCTGCATAGTCAGCTTGATGAAATGATTGCAGCATATCACGACAAGCAGGTTCAGCTTCTAAGAGTAAGCGTAAAGATGTACTGCCAAGAACCAATGTTGCTAATTCTGTACGCTCAAAAGTAGCTAAACTGCATAGTGTTATGAAAAATGCTAAATCTGATACAGTTACAATTCGACTTATAGGTGATTCACAATGATCAGGATTAACCTTAAAAAAAAAACAAGAAAGAAGTAATACTTATTCAATAGGGAAAAACAAACAGGTTTTGAGGATCAAAATCACAATATTAATCAACTCTTATCCCTCCAGTGGGACTCTATTACACATTTTTCATATGTAAAGAAGCTGAACACATGCCCATTCCAACATCGGAATTGAGGAAATTATTACTAAATTATTATGTACCAAAAATGTCCAATTCCAATTCAACGGGCGTCTGTTCCGTCAGGTTGATGGTGTCGCAATGGGAAGTCCTTTGGGACTTATTCTGGTCACGCCTAGAAACCAGTACCTTGCAGCAACATATACAAGAAACGGATGTATACTTAAGATATGTTGATGACATTTTTATTGTCTGTGAAAGCAGATCAAAAGCGGAAGACATGTTGATAAAATTCAATTCATGCCATCTAAATCTCAATTTCACAGTAGAACACGAGGAAAACGATACTAATAAATTCCTAGACGTTTTTCTAGCCGAAATGAATGATGGCACAATCGAAAGATCTATATTTAGAAAGTCTTCATGGACAGGACAGTACATGCATTTCAAGAGCTTTGTTCCAATCCAGTATAAAAAGAACTTAGTCAGAACACTGTTCAATAGAGCACGAAAAATTTGTTCTGACAGTACAATTGAGCATGAAATGAAATCTCTGAAGGATATTTTATCTAAGAATGGATATCCTCAGAAGTTCATTAATAAATACTCTAAAGAAACTACCCCCTGCAAAACAATTAAAACAGTTCCGAAGAAACCTGTCTATATCAGTTTGCAGTTCAAAGGAGATGACGTACACGAAGTAGTCAAACGAAAACTCGACAAAGCCATCAAGAGAACTTATTATGCTGCAAAACTTGTTATCCTTAACACCACCAAGCGAGTGCTTCAACAATCTGGGAAAGACCAGTCGCCAATCCTCGACACTCCAAACTGCTCATATCAATTTGAGTGTGTTTGTGGCAGCAGATACATAGGTCGTACGGAAAGGCGGTTGTCTACTCGCATGAAGGAGCATTTGCCAAAATGGTTGAAAACAGCTGAGTGCAAAGTGCCAAAATCCTCAATAACAAAACATCTTGTGGATTACGGATATGATATCGACGCGGTCAAGTCATTCACCATTGTCAACAAACAAAGAAACAAGAAGATGCTTGCAATTGCAGAGGCTTGTGCAATTCGAATTTATAAAACAGCTCTCTGTATACAAAAGGAGATGGTCGTGACTCTGAATCTACCATGGTAATATGTTTTATTTATTATTCTCTACTTGTTATTACTATTACTATTATTCTTGATTCATTTAAAACTATGCTTTATCAGGAAGATTATCTTAACTCACTTCAACACTATTATTATTGTTATTATAACTATTACTATTGATATTAGTCTGTTTGCAGTTCTCGTTATATTCCCTAATGACTAATTGTTTATCTAAGTGATGTAATTGAAGCGTAATGCAATTTATCTTAATTTTGATCTCTCATACTCTCTCTCCCCTTATCTATTTGAACATGACCTGATCTAAACATTCGCACCTGTCTTTCTGCATGCCTAATTCAATGTAGTTTGTTTACTTATCAGTCTTATATCTCCCAATGTAATTGCAAAAGTATATATATCCATGTATGTAGAGTATTTAGCTGACGAGTTCTACCGAAATTTGATGAATTCATTAAATCCTGCTTTATTAACCTTTATTGCTTATTTTACATTTTTTTTAAATAACAGAATGTCCATGATATTGAAGATGCATAGTTTGAACCAAGAAGTTAAGGATACTTCGTGAAACTACCTAGATATTATTATTTCACGTGATATGGCGAATCAGCTTAAGCTGTCTAATTTCACTCAATGGGTCACGGGTTCGACTCTTGCCCCATCTACTTCCACCGGGGCAACTAGATTGTACCATTATCCCCCACACAATAAGTCTGGCTTATAATCCAGTACTGGGTAACCGAAATAAATACTTAAACTTTTTACTCAGCTCGACAGTGTGAATGTCCTACTCACCGTCACAGTCGTTTTTCTGCATTCAAGACAACAGACAGAAATCAATGACTCTCAAAACTTTTAATACCAAAAAAATGATTTCTTGCCTTTTAAACTCAACAAAATCTTATAATAAACTATTATCATGATATAGCAGCGATTCTAATTTGCTTAGACACATAAAATCTTGAGAAAACTTATTTAGCGCATAGCTGTGAGTTAGACCATTACGGTCTAAGCTGAACATTGTTCATAATTTATTTGGACAGTAATTCTTTCATCGAAAGAATAATTCTGCATTGGTTAAAGCACACTTATCTTACTAAAGTTTACACACTAAACACAAATTCTCCTAAGCTTTCTATACAGAAATGAAATTTTATTCCTCTCAACAGATCATTAGAATAAATTCAAACTACATTTTAGCTGCGTCAGTGGCATGGCGGTTAGGACGCTCGCCGATCAAGCACATGGTCCGGGATTCGATCCCCGGCTGACGCACTCCTTTACCTCGCTAAGCCAGAAATAATGCTGGTAAAGAGGAAAGGCTGGGCATGAAGCTAGCAACCCCGTCCTGCAAAATAAACACTGCTACAGAAAATTCAAGCCACTAGCTTGAGGCCCTATGTTCCACTGGGAACGTGAAGGGAAAAAAACATTTTAGTTACACAATCAAAAATAAGCCTGTTGTTGTTTTCCGGATTACAAAAATAAACACAATAATGTTAATTTTAAATTAGTGGATGCTTGTTCTACTACTACTTTTTTCTAGACAAAAACTGATTAACAGACTGGGTAGGCGTACACAAAATACGATTTGCTTACTTGAAGGAAATGCATAACAGCACCTCTATAATTACGAGAAGCCAATTCAACTAATCCAGCTGCGATAGCTAACTGAGTCCGGGCTTGGGCTAAAGCGTCACGATAACTTTGTCCACCAGTCATAGGCGCTTGTCCTAGGTGGCTGTCACTGGGTTGTCGAGATAAAACTCGACCTGTAGGATCCAAAAGACTAGAAGAACCACTACGTGCCATGGATTCGCCTAGTCTCATTGAACCTGATGTTCCGGAGGCTGTTGTTCGTGTACCCAGCCGAGATGTTGTGTCGGTACGATTCCGTTGCTGAGCGTTTAATTCAGATGCATTCGCACCTGTCAGTGAATTTGTATCACGTAATTCAGATAAACTGTTGGCCCGGGTAACATGTGCGCTAACATGAGACCAAGCACGCTGAAATATAGCTACCTGTAACATAGGAAAGAAAACATTACATTTGTATTCCATGGAAATTCTCTTAAACCCTTAAACAGACACCAAGGTCCCCGCCACAAGAGTTACCACATCAACATGCTCAGGCATAATGAGATTTCCATCATCTCCCAGTTAAAACGATATTTCCAAAATCTGCTATCATGTGCTAATAACACTGAAATGCACATAAATCCAATAAGAATATTGCCGCAGCTACACAGAGGTTACTGTACATATTACTTGCGAGTGAGGGCTCCCATCAGTTATAAAGCCAGTTTCATATCCAAAATAAATTTAGCTGTATCCTTGGAGGATTTAAGATAGTATAACTGTGAGTGGACATTAACATGTATTTTAAGCAGTCCAAACAACTACTGTAATATACCTCTCAATGCTGAATAAAATCTATTCCATAGTACCTTCAGTGATATCCGCAACTAAACCAACCAGCTCAGAGAACACTACTAATTGCATATCAGTCCTTTCTCAATAATACAAACAATGTTAACTTTTATGATGCCTGTTTATCTATGACGTTTAAAACACAAACCTGGTACAATATGGGTACGATTTAAAGCAAGTATACTTGTCAGGATCATTCATCACTTCATGTTACTGTTGGGATGGGATGAAAGGAAGAAACTGCAGCATGTTCACCAGTGATTGCGATTCTTGGCCATACTTGATATCGTTACGAGCCACCATATCAAACTATCGGACCCAAACTGGGTAGTCGCCGTGTACCTACGGATGCCAACCTAACACAAAGGGATCCTTCAACCCACAGGGCCACAGTATATACTGACCGCTGTTCTGCTTTTTCCATCCAGTCCCGAAGCCAGAAAACAGATATCGACCGGTATGGAAAATAACTTCACTATAGATCTGCACTAAAGACCCAAGTGAAGTATCTTGTTAACTGGGAAAACATCTCATATACGCTTATCCGAAGACACTGTGGTATTGACGAGTGGTCTGACTTGTGTCGATATCACAACATTCTGTTGTTGAATAAATTCACCTCTTGAATCTATCTATTAGAGTAGGATATTAATGAGAAGTGTATCAACAACATAAAAATCTTATTTGAACCATTTGTGGTAATGTTTGAACATATAACGACTGTTACAATTAAGCAGGATTGTGTAAATTCTCTGTGCCGATTTAAATTTAAGACATACATCTTGTAAACAGTTACTGTCTGTCTGTCTGTTTTCTACATAGAACTTTGCACAAATGTGCGACAGTTCAAGTCGCCACACCCCGTGTAGCACGCGAAGCAAGAGAAGAAAGTACAAGAAAAGCATAATAGAAACAGTGAGCAGAGGTGTGAGACAAAGGAGTAATGAAGAAAAACAAAACAGTTTCATTGGAGATCATAAGTCACAAGGAGTGGATGCATCTGCGCCACTGAGAACGATTTTGAGCCATGTCACCAATTGTTTCTAACCACAGATTTTTACCGTCCCGAGGACCCCAACGAGGAAGTCTACACCTTCCTACGTGGCTTAGACCAACTGTTGTGGATTTCATTGACTGGTGCCATGTTTTTGTTTGACCGCCGCTAGCTTTTTTCCAGCCTGACCCTATATCCGCTAACATAGCTCGTCGAGGGAGGCGATGGCTTGGCATACGTAACACATGTCCTAACCATCTCAGTCTTTGTAGCTTCACAACTTCGTCGATTGATTTCCTCTGTTTACCTAGAACTCTACGCCTAACCTCAATGTTGCTCACCTTATTATGCCACTTCACACGGGAAATAGAGCGCAGGCACCTATGATCAAAGACAGCTAGTCTTTTCATGTCTTCCACTCTCAGTGGCCAGGTCTCACAACCATAAAGGAGGACGGAGCGGACTGATGAGCAGTACACCCGCCCTTTGGTCGATAGTCGAACATCTCGTCTACAAAGGTAGATTCGACCCGGTCCTCCTGTGTTTCACCAAATTCACGCTTAGCGACCAATTTCCTTAGGTATGAAATCTCCCTTCTACAATCTACGTGTCTTCGCTTACACCCACCCTCAATAATCAACACCACTACAATTACTAGACAAGTTCGTGCATAGAAGATAAAATCGATGAAATTGCTAGTCGCATACAAAAATCAAAGTCAACATACGCCAATCGGGGCGAAAGTCTATGGGCACCAAAATGTTAATGCTTAGAACTCTTCAGTGTGTGCACTTCTCCCGTACATTTCGGAAGCCTAGCGTTTTTGAATTGCATACACTGAGATACTCTTCGCTGATAGTACGAATGGAATTCCAAGGCTCAATGGTACGTACGTATTCGGAAAAGACGAAGATAATCTTTCAATGAGTGATGTCAGTAGCTTAGATCGCCTGGAAATGCATTATGAATATCATCTCAGTAGCTCCCACACAGTTTTACCGCTTCAAAGCTCTCGTAATGGTTGGAAGAAATAAGTACTTGGTTAGCTCTAGACGTGGAGGTGAAGGAATCCATTAAGCATGGCTCACAATCCAAATCAAACTGCAGCTTGCTTATTCCTTTTACAATCCGAAGGAATGAAAAGTGACAAATGCTCTCCCCAATGAACGTAGTGGAAGTGTTTCCCTGTTTATTATGTTGCGCTTGCTACTCTTTCTTATGCTGGTGGTGTACTACTTCTGGATACATATACTATACCAAGTTTGTGCTAAGTTAGCCTTTACAGTAAACAAACTAAAGTAAAAGCGTAGATTATGTAAAATTGTGGTAAACTTTGTTTCCGTAATGCCCAAGTAATATTCTTCATATGGAGGTTACATATGACGATGATAGCTTAGGAAAGTTGCATTACATACACTAAGTAGTACTGACTACAAACATACGATGCATTATATAAGGAACATTTAGATTGATTAGAAACATATTCGATAACCTAACAGTAGTGAATTCTTCGACAAAAAAAAGGAGTTTCACCGGTTGTCTATTGCAAAAAAATATTTCCAAATCCAAAACCTGACTTGAAGAACTCCATTTATACGTCTAGCACAAGTGCCTGTCACCAACTCACACACAAAGCACATAAGCCCCTGGAACACAGACCCCTCCTAACCCCGGTTTTAACTTCACAAGAATACTGTTGCTCAAGAACAGTGGGCTTAATTTACTACAAAAATATCGTACATTATTAACTCATCATAAGTCTAGTTCGAAATTTGGAATGTCAACAAAATATTCGTGAATTTGTGAATACTATAGAAAAAAGAACATACCTTGATAACATTCAAACACATGGTTAACTCTTGGTGTTGAGATGTACAATAATCTCGGGAACGAGCAAAGCACTTGTTCGCATTGCTTAATTGACCTAACTGTAGATACAAATCCCCAAGATCATCTGACCCACGACTGTTGTGAATGAATAACAAAAACAAGCAAATATGAATATATGCAAGGGAGATTTCAAATGATCCAAGTGAAATAATTTTGAGACATAAAGTAAAATAAGTGATGGATTAGCCAATAAATCCTACTTGAAATCTAATCAATTTAAAATGTTACTTATACTGACTAACTGACTGGTTTCAACGTAGAATTTTGCACCGATGTGCAGCAGTTTGAGTTGCCACACTCCATGTAGCCAACAAAGCAAGAGAAGAGAGTAAAGGCAGGTTCAAAAAACAGATAATAAACAGAAGTTTGAGGCAAAGAGAATATCAATACGGAAGAACGATAGTGTTTTATTGCATATGACGAATCACAAACAGTGAATGCATCTGTGCCACTGAGAACAATTTTGAGCAATATCACTGACTGTCTCCAGCCAGTGGTTTTTACCGTACCAAGGACCCCAACCGAGAAGCCTACACATTCCTATGTGACTGGCTTAAACTGACTGTTGTGGATTTCACTGACCGATCAAGCCACTTTTTGGTTTAACCACCGCTAGCTCTTTTCCAGCCTGACCCTATGTCAGCTAACATTGCTCATCGAGGAAGGCGATAGCTAGGCATGCGTAACACATTTCCTAACCACCTCAATCGATGTAACTTCACAGCCTCATCGACTGATTTCACCTTCTTACTTAGCACTCGCCGCCTAACCTCAATATTACTCACCTTATTATACCACTTAACACGGGAGATAGAACGCAGACACCGATGATCAAAGACAGCTAGGCGACCTTTTCATGTCTTCCACTTTCAACGACCAGGTCTTACAGCCATAAAGGAAAACGGAAAAGACTGCTGAGCAGTACATCCAGCCTTTGGTCGGCAGTCGGATACCACGTCTGCGTCAGAGACGGAGTAAACTGGCATGTGCGACACGATCTTTCTGTATCCGTGCTAAGAATTCGTCAGAAATCAACCCGTTGGGGCTGATGCAACTTCCCAAATAAGCGAAATGGTCAACACGCTATACCATTTCACTCCTTATTTCTAAACTCAGGGTCAATGTAGTTCAATCCTGTAGCATCAAATTACATTTGGAGGGGCGAAACGCATGCCAAACATTCTTATATTGCGGCTCAAGGTGTTACTTATACAAATAACTCCATAACGCTTATCCAGATTTATGAATAAAACTTCCATCCAAATAATGATTCACATGAAATTATTCGCTAAATGGCCACGTACTAACTTCAGTAAAATCAGTTACAGTGGTTAGAAACAACTTAACATATAACAAATGACTCCCCTATACCAAATGTGAAATTCTACTGTCATTTTACGACGAAAGTCTTTATATCATAACTGGTTGTGAATTCAGTCAATACTAAGGCCGTAAGGCCAGTGTTTAGTGTCAAATCCTTTATTCGTATATGATTTAGAAACAAGTTAACTAAACTTGAATATAAGTGTAACTAAGCTGAATTATACCCAAAAAATTTCTATTCCTCACAACTCTAAGGTAGTAAAACAGACTATGAGTAGAGAAAAGATGAAAAATGGTGGCATTCTGTGCACAAAACGTTGCGCTAGAAAGACAGCATATCTTTGGACCCTTAGCAGAATAATCGCGAATGTGAAACATAGCCTTATATTTATGTTTGCATAAAGAAAAGTATAAACTGTCACAACCGATTTCCAGTTATCAAGAGCCTTCAGTCAGTATGTGGCATATCTCAATCTAACAATCCTACATTTTTAAGGAAATTCAATACGAAAGTCACTAAGTCTGTGAACAATTGCACTGTCACAAAAATTTCTAATAGAACTTCATACCAGTTAATTGTTCTAGAAATGAGAAATAATAAAACTGTGAAAGGATCCCTACCCTAGGTAATCATTTGTCCAGTATAGTAAGACATAGTGGGAAAACTGTTGTAACACATGGCAATTCAAGTTATGTATAAATGAGTATGATGGAATCTTTAGTACTGTGGTTAAAAAATAATAATAGAGAAAAGTGTGTAATAGTATATAACTGTGCGGGCAAAACTACTAAATACAATTAGTTAAAGTTGCTACCATCAAAATACCGTATGCTCTCTTTAATCGAATTCGCTTTATGATTTTTCAGCTCTGTATCTAGTTGTTCCAAAAGCATGACTCCTTTCCGTCGCGTTGATTCCTCCCACTTCGCATCATACACCAGATTAGCTTCATTCTGTAAGAAAAACATCAGATACCAAAGTAAGCTTTAGTGAGACGAAATTAAAACAGAAAACGATGGGACATATGAGAAATAATTATACACTCGGCGCTCTTCACCGGGTTGACTGTCCATTGGATGACAGTCTAGGGGAGATGGCTAAACTCTGATTCCAAACCTCCAACGACTGGCGTATGAAGCTCACCGGCAGACGTATGGACAAAGGGCTTATTGGATGCCCTGGATGTCTGGCCCCATTCAAAAAGGCGTATGAACCGGACTCCGGTCACCGGCTGCCAATGGATAGTGGACTCCCTACTCCACTCCACTCCTACTGCCTTGTAGGTCACACTTGGTTGTGTAAAGGCTAGAGCTGCACTCTCAAACAAAAGGCCGAGCGATGCTGGGGACATCACTCGTACCTAATTCCCATGAAACTTCATGAACTCTCTACAACATCAACCAAATTCCAGTACCGGTCCAACAACGTCGCCTTTGGTGGTTTGGCCATGTTCTGCGCCGACCAGATGACGATCTGGTCAAATCAGTTCTAAATCCCTCACCATTTCCATCTTGGCGATGTCGCAGGGGTGGACAGCTGAAAACGTGGCTTGGTACAGTCAAGGCTGATATGGAGTGCCTGGGGCTACAAACCGTCTACGGACTCCGTCTGTGAAACAAGAATTTGATAACCCTGTCGCAAAACCTTGCATCAGATCGCCGCGCCTGGTCAGCGATGATTCGAGATGTTCATGAAGCCGGCTCATCCTACCGTAGGAGATAGCCGAAGTAAAGTAAGTGAAGTTGACCAAAGAGGTTTGTAACTATGGTGGTAAGAAGTACAAATATACATACAATACATCCACCAATCTAGGACCATTCTACCGATAATTTTCAGACATATCCAGTGCCGACAAAATAACCAAATACTAATATGACTCACTTTCCCAGACATTACTTCAGTCAAAGCATTCCGGGCAGCTTCTGTTAGAGAGGATCCTAATGCTGCTGATTCGCCTGAACTAGACAAGCCATCTGCGATATGATTGTTTGTGACAGCTCGCATTGCAGGAACAGATTGTTGTCTAGATGTTTCACCGGATGCTGATGAATTAACAGTAAGATTTGTCTGGAAAATAATGTAAAGAAACATTCACATGACGGTGTGAACCCAAGCTCCACTAAACATTTCTGGTATGTTACTACTACGCAAAAATAGATACATTACACGCAAGTTTCAAAAAGAGTACATGATCAAGAGTCTTCCGAAAATATAATTAGGCATACAATAATGAGAAAACTTCTTTGTAGTGCTGTTAAATACTATATAACAATGACCTTAGAAACTGACGATAACTCAGTGTCCCTGACAAAACGAGTATGTATTGGTCGGGATGAAGAACAAAGTAAGATAGTAAAGCCTGTGAAAATGATAAACTGTGTATCACGTGGTTTCAAGCTGATCATGGCATAATACATTTGAGTGAGAACTCAAAGGGTCGTTGGATGTGAAAATGGTGCCATAGAAATTTGAATCCAGGAGAGTTTAAGAATAATATCTGGGGTCCTGGAAAACAGATCTCAGCAAGACGTATAAAATAGCTAATGGCTAACTGAAATCGACGTGATAGGCTGCTGTTCGAGACCTCATACTGAAGACTTGTCTTAAGTTGCCGGCATTCAGTAAATTAGATATCAGGCACTCCCAGCAGATTTTTCACATACCAAACTGTAAGCCACACATTGTGAGTGCAGATGATAATAACTGGCCGGTCAAAATGAAGTATGTACAGCAGAATTCACACGAAGGACACTAACAATGTGCTTCACAGATCAAAACACATAATTCCCAAATGACTTTTAAGTAGCTCATAACTTCAGGTGAATATAACTGCTTACAAAATGAACTGCTACTAGCAGAGATATAGTATGCTTTTTAAAAATTAGCAGCACGGATGAGCTTTGATCTAAAGTAAAAACTTTAAATACAGTAAAAAAACTATTAGTGATTAACACTAAGTTCCACCTATACATAGAGTAGTGCTCAGGCATTGATTGCTATCAGAGTAAATATGGTTGTTTGATAAAACTTTTCGAGCATGAGTGTCAACAATCTCAGTGGACTAGTCCATTAATCATGAACTGACCCAGTGGAAACACCTAAGAAAATTTTATTTTCACGTTTGAAAACGCTAAATTTCACTTAACAACATTGGTTGAGGTCATTCATTGATTGGGAATTAATAGTCGAAAACAAAATTACCATGACGCGATAGTCTGTGAAATCCACTTTTGTAAAAAAAAAAAAAGTGGTACTTTTAAGGCAGGACATCATAAAACTCGAATCTGACGTAAAACTGATATCATAATGAGTATGAAAGTCACTTATTGTAATGTATATTACTTTAAAAGAATATAATTCCATATGATGCATACAATCTGTGGGTAAAAGGAAACATTCGTTCTACCTCTTCAATGTGTATTGAGGTAGAAGATCATTCGCCAAACTAACCTAAAGAGGGCAAATACGGTGCCTACGAACGACCTAAGTCATGTAGCATATACCCAAAAAAATAGACTCCAAGGACATCATGCTGCTTTGGTCATACTATCTTAGTTTAGTCTGTTTAGTTATGCAGTAAAATATCAACAGACTGAGAGCCAACTACTCACCTGTTCAGCCAACATTAGGAAGACTCGATTATACGCCGACGTGTCTAGTGTTGACTTTTTAATATAGTCATGAGCCAGGCGCAGCGCTGTAACTCGAAGTGAAGGGCAGCGGTGAGCGATAAAAAATAGGCGCTGATAATATATATATCCCTGATAATTTGCAATGTAGGTGGCAAGATCCTAATAGATTTGCAGTTACGTATAATTCAAAGACTAACTATTGGTATTTCATCATCAACAGTTTCGTACTCCATTGAAGTATTCGAGGAAGACGGTACATCTTCAAAAAGAGCAGGGTCCAAGTGCAGCATGTCTGTACCAACTTATTCAGCGCCAAAGTACTGTAACGTCTCAAAACTACCGCACCAACGAGACTTTCTATGTTGGACAATCAGATTAGATATGACTTAGTCTAAAGGTTATTTTACCTCCCTAGGAACAATTTATCCCAAGAAAAACATTAGGCCAAAATAAACTTGGAGCACAGATGGAGTACAGCCTCGCCAAGGACCTTCGATGCCCAGCCAACAAGTTAGTAAGACCAAGCAAATAAAATTATAGTCGTGAATCAAATATGCTTTTTGAAGTGTTGTGATATTAAACGAAACATCTGGTAAGTTTCTTATTATGCCTGGGAAGGATTAAGCCCATGTCTAGGTTAGAGGCAGATTAAGGACAGGCTGACCCAGTTACTAGTGATTCCGCACGCACAGACGAAACTTCGGGGCAGACTTCAGGAGCACTGCAGAGACTTAGAGGCAGACTGCGGACAACTTTCCCACGTTTTGTGATGCGCCTGTAGGTTCTCGCTCCACAAATTCTGCAGTGCGCCCGAAGAAAATGCTAGCTGCGAACATAATATGGAAGACACTAATGTTGGTTCGAGTCTGCCCAAGATGTATTTAGGGATAATTCCACCTTAGAGTCAGGCCAAGAGGAGATTAGGATAAGGGTTGGGATATTCCTATGAGTGAGCTTCAATTACTCCATTGACCTTTCAATGCAAAACTCAGAGGTATTCGTGTCACGAGTTATGGGAAGGTCTCTTGTGTAACAGTCGCATGACTATGTATTCATGACGTTCATAAATATAAGTAGTTTATGTGAAGTAGCTTCCTTTTTTATATAACTGGCTCCGTAAAGGTCATCTGTGTGTCGCTGCACTTTGGTGCTGAAAGCTTAACTTCGCCGAAAACCTTTTATCACCTAGTGCCAGTTTAAATCTAAATACTATATTTTTCTGCAGAATAAAATGATAAAAAAAATGACATTTTTCTTCGTAGAGACTTATGCATTGTTGGATAATGGTTCAGACGTTACACTGATAGATGCTAAGCTGGCTGGCTGCTTGGGTATTAAGGCCCAAAGCAATCCTTGGTTCTAAATACTTTCAATTCTTCGAAAACCGTAGTATGTGAACCAGTGTCATTTCAGTTAGAATCCTTGACTACTAGGGAAACCGTTGAAGTAGATACTGCTTACACTACCTCCAGTATGGAACTCGGCGAAGCTATACTACCTAGTCGCGAAACAGTTGTCAGTAAGCCATACCTGTGTGACATACCGTTTCCAACACTACAAGATGTTAGAGTGGGAATACTCATTGGATGTAGTGTGCCAGAAGCTCACAAGGTATTAGAAGAGAGATTCGGAGGTAGATATGATCTGTTCGCGACGAAAACACCGCTGGGATGGACAGTGAGAGGACCTATACCCATAGTCCACATATCATCATTAGTTGCAAGCAATGGGGAAAAACTGGAAACTATGATTATAAATATGTATGACAAGGAGTTTTGTGACTGTGGTGTCCCAGAGAGGGGTCGTTCTGTAGAAGACTTAAAAGCAGTTACAATAGTTGAGGAGTCTTGTAAATACGTTTCAGCGTTGGCCAGCCATGGAGATTTAAAGATAGACAGTTGGTTTGTAATAGAGAAGTTGTTCTTAAGAGGCTAATGGGTCTGAAGAAGAAATTTCTGACGGATGCAGACCTCTGGACCAAATATAAAGATGTTGTCGACAAACATGTAATGAAGGGTTACGTTGAAAGACTAGTTGATCAGAGCGAGCCAGGGAAGTGGTATTTGCCTCATCATCCCGTCTTTAACCCGAGGAAACCAGGTAAACTCCGTGCGGTGTTCGATTGTTCTCAGAAACATGAAGGAGCCTTTATGAATGATAATCTGTATAGTGGCGCAGATTCCGTGAGCTCACTAGTTGGACTGCTGTTAAGATTCAGAAAGTTTACAGTTGCTGTCGCTGCGGATATAGAGGAAATGTTCCTAAAAGTGAAGGTGCCAGAGACCGACAGAGATCACTTAAGGTTATTGTGGCTTGATGATGGTTCTTGTGTTAAGGTGTCAGAATATAGGATGACAGTTCATCCATTTGGTGCCGCTTCCTCCCCGTTTTGTGCTAATTTTGCCATACGAAAGGCAGTGTCCACATCTGGTCCTAGTGATCTGCTGGACGTCATTGATTGTTGCCTCTATGTGGATGATTGTTTGACCCACTTCGATGATGATAAGTCTGCAGTTAAATTTGCAACAAGTATTACTGAGGTGTTAGCTAAGGCTGGCTTCTGTTTAACTAAGTGGGTCTCGAATAGCCTAGACGTTTTGAAGCATATAATTCCAGAAGACAGAGCACCTACTGTACGAGGTTTACCTGTTGATACTCTACCAGTTGAACACACATTAGGTATGCGATGGGATGTGAACTCTGATACCTTTGGATTTAGTGTTGGTGATATTGATAGGCCAGTTACTCATAGAGGTGTGCTCTCCGTGTTGTCGTCCGTGTTGGACTCACTTGGATTAGTAGCAACTTATCAACTTCCGGCGAGGAAATTATTCCAAGAGACGTGCAGGAAAGGGTTACAGTGGGGTGACCCATTAAATGAGAGACACAGTGAAGAGTGGAAAAGATGGGTCAACAGTTTAGGAACGCTGAATCTACATTCCGCCTCACGTCCACTTAAGCCATCGAGAAGTCATGATATAATTGACTTCCATGCTTTTTTCTGATGCCTCTGAGGTCTGATTTGGAGCAGCTGTCTACATCAGAACCACCTTCAGGGATGATATAGATGTTCGCCTAGTGATAGGCAAATCTAGAGTTTGACCTCTGAAGACGATTTCGATTCCAAGATTATAACTCACTGCAGCCTTGCTAGCGGCGCAGTATTCACAACGGTGCGTAAAGGGTTGGATTATCCCAAGTATCCTGTAACGTTTTGGACTGATTTCATGTCTGTGATATATTATATTCGCAACGAGTCAGCAGGATATGCATGTTTTGTAGCTAACAGAGTATCTCAAATTCGTGAACTAACAGTCGTCGAGCAGTGGAGGTACGTACCGTCTGGAAAAAATCCAGCTGATCCAGCATCGCGAGGATTTACTGATATGAATGTGGTTAAAAATAAGTGGTGGATAGGTCCAGAGTTCTTGCTACGGGCTGATAGTATGTGGCCTAGTAGAGAAGATGAACCACCGATAAGCGAGAGTGTCTTGGAGTTGAAGACAAGTGTCAGTTTAACATCTACTCAAGGAAGACATTCAGGTTTACATCCACTTTTTAAATATTATTCTTCTTGGTACAAATTACTGAAAGCTGTTGCGTGGTTGACACGATATGTTACATATTTAAAGGTCACGCATCTTGCGGGATACGAAAATATGAATGTGGGACCTATGAGAGTCGAAGATATCAGAAATGCAGAGTTAGCGATTTTGAGGGCTGCTCAGTGGGAAGCGTCGGGTGAGATTGCCAAGAAGGATAGTCATGATTTCGCATATTTCAAGGCACGGTTAGATCGATTATCTCCGATAGTTTCTGAAGGGATCGCTAGAGTTGGTGGACGTCTGTCAATGGAGTTGAAGATTGAACGATCAATTCTTGGTTGTTTGCTCAAAATCAACTTCCCCAATTTTCGTGGAGGCATCAATACGACAGTCATCGTCTCATCGGTAGCTGTTCAGAAAGAAGAGTAAAACATCGTCAGAAGTAATATTATGATTTATTATTGTAATATTTGTTCACAGACCTTAGTCATACTTGATTTATATGTTGGTGTAACAATACAGAGTACTCAAGTCAAAAATTGGTGTTTTGGTTTTTTCGCCCGTTATTACTAAGCGTTTCTGAGAAAATTCAAGCGACAGCGTGAGCCCGAGCGTAGCAAGAGCTGGGCATTAATGGTTTATGAGACGTGACTGACAGTTTCTGACGATAGAAACAGATCTGGCGGATTCAAACAGTTGGTGAAAGTTTGGATAGTCGCCGTTCCTTTTCCCTGGTGCCGGTCAAGTCCTCTTTGAACAAGCAATATCTGGAACGTTTTTGGAATTGGGTCAATTTCAACAATGCCTGGGTCAAAGAAGGGACAGAGTGTCTTGGATGCAAACAGGAAAGTAAGTCATGGTGACTTGTCTGTTAATTGTAGCGATGTGTCTGATGTTAAGCATGGCATGGTTGATGTTACTGTTTCGCCGTTCAGGGATAATAGGAACATCAAACTCCTTAAGTTTGAACCACGATGTTTTGATGGAAACCCAGCTGATTATTTACAATTTGTAAAGGAGTTTGAGATCATGTTGAGTAGTTTTCTATTAAGTGATGAATTGAAGTTAATGTATTTGATGAGATATTGCACTGGAGATGCTGCAAGAGCTATACAGTGCTGTAAGTTTATGAAGCCAAAAGAGGGCTACTACGAGGCTATGAGCATATTACGTCAAAGGTTTGGAAGACCTTCAATGATTGTAAGGAATGTATATGAAGCTGTCAAAGGTAACGGCAGTCAACTTCAAGATGACTCCAAGGCACTTACTGAGTTTTTAGATAATCTTATGACTTATAAGAATACCTTGATTTCGATGAATTGCATGAGTGACCTCAACTCGAGTTTTATACTAGAAGTAATAGCAAGACGCCTACCTACTCGACTGCAGAGGAAGTGGGTGAAGATAAGCTCCCGTATGGAGGATGAGGGTATCGAGCCAAAATTTGATGATATCCTGAAACTAGTAAAAGATAGTGTCAATCAATCTTTGAGCAAGTTTGCCAGTATATTGAATCTCACCCCTAGAATAGAGCAATCTGAGGGTAAAACGAGATCATTGATGACGAAAGGGCCTCAGAGAGGTGGATATCGAGAAGGCTCCATGATGTCTAGTAATGCATATAGACCTAGTGAGTGTAACAGCTTTCGTAGTACATCGTCAACAGATAAGTTGCAAGATGCAAGACAAACACGGTTGTGTTGTACACGTTTGCAAGAGGTGCATACAGAGGGGAACTGTGAACCAGTGAGCAAGTTCAGTGATAAGCTAAATGTGAAATCAAGGTCTGACTCCGAATTGTGTGATGATAACG